TTTAGTCCTGGTTTAGTCCTGTAATTGTCCTGCTTTAGTCCTAATTTAGACTTGGATTAGACTGGTCAAAAACAGAGACACTTCTTGGGCATTTCTTGTATAAAATACAAAATAAATCAGTGTTTTTGTTTAAATCTGCAGGGACAGAGGACACGGACTTAAACCCGGGTCTGTCCCGGGTCTGTCCCGGGTCAACAGGGACGTCTGATCATCCTGATTAAAACCGTAGTAACTTGTTACTCACCGGCGGACGCGGCGGAGAATCGCGGTGTCGTTCCGGGCGTCGTGCGTAACTGTCCGTCTCCCCCGACGCGTCTCACGGAAGCCGCAGAGGAAAACGCGCGGTGCGGATGAGAAGACTCCCGCTGCACGCGCGCTCCATGGAGGCAGCGCGGGTCCGGGGCGCGGGTCCGGTGCGTGTGTCAGCGGGGCTCTGTGGTGGTTGTGGCGGTGGTGGAGTGAATGTGACGCGGGGAGGAGGCGCGGCGCGGCGGATCTCTCCAGCGCGCGCGCTCTCTCTCCGCCCCGCTCCGAGACGCGACGAGTCTGCGCAAAGACTGAAGAGAGAAGGACAACAAAGTCTGAACTGAACACACCCGAACTAAACTGAACACACCCGGACTAAACTGAACACATCCGGACTAAACTGAAACACACCTGGACTAAACTGAACACACACAGACTAAACTGAACACACCCGGACTAAACTGAACACACCCGGACTAAACTGAACACACCCGGACTAAACTGAACACACACAGACTAAACTGAACACACCCGGACTAAACTGAACACATCCGGACTAAACTGAACACACACAGACTAAACTGAACACACCCGGACTAAACTGAACACACACAGACTAAACTGAACACACCCGGACTAAACTGAACACACCCGGACTAAACTGAACACACCCGGACTGAACACACCCGGACTAAACTGAACACACCCGGACTAAACTGAACACACCCGGACTAAACTGAACACACACGGACTAAACTGAACACACCCGGACTAAACTGAACACACCCGGACTAAACTGAACACACCCGGACTAAACTGAACACACACAGACTAAACTGAACACACCCGGACTAAACTGAACACATCCGGACTAAACTGAAATGACACACACACTAAACTAAACTGAAAACACCCGGACTAAACTGAACACACCCGGACTAAACTGGAACACACACAGACTAAACTGAAACACACCGGACTACTGAACACACCCGGACTAAACTGAACACACCCGGGCTAAACTGAACACACCCGGGCTAAACTGAACACACCCGGGCTAAACTAAACAACACAGACTAAACTGAACACACCCGGACTAAACTGAACACACACAGACTAAACTGAACACACCCGGACTAAACTGAACACACCCGGACTGAACACACAGACTAAACTGAACACACCCGGACTAAACTGAACACACCCGGACTAAACTGAACACACACAGACTAAACTGAACACACCCGGACTAAACTGAACACATCAGACTAAACACCAGACTAAACTGAACACACCCGGACTAAACTGAACACACCACGGACTAAACTGAACACACCCGGGCTGAGACAACAAATGCAATTTATGCTCCTCTGGTTTAGTCCTGGTTTAGTATAGTTTTAGACCTTGTTTAGTCCTGGTTTAGACCTCATTTAGACCTTGTTTAGACCTGGTTTAGTCTTGATTTAGACCTTGTTTAGACCTGGTTTAGTCCTGGTTTAGTCCTGGTTTAGACCTGGTTTAGTCCTGGTTTAGACCTGGTTTAGTCCTGTTTAGACATGTTTAGTCTGATTTAGTCCTGGTTTAGACCTTGTTTAGACCTGGTTTAGTCCTGGTTTAGACCTGGTTTAGTCCTGATTTAGACCTGGTTTAGTCCTGGTTTAGACCTGGTTTAGACATGGTTTAGTCTTGATTTAGTCCTGGTTTAGACCTTGTTTTAGTCCGGTTTAGACCTGTTTAGACCTGGTTTAGGTTTAGACCTGGTTTAGACCTGGTTTAGTCTTGATTAAGTCCTAGTTTAGACCTTGTTTAGACCTGGTTTAGTCCTGGTTTAGACCTGGTTTAGTCCTGATTTAGACCTGTTTTAGACCTGGTTTAGTCCTGCTTTAGACCTTTAGGCAGAAATGAGGTTTTGTATTAAAACTGTGGTTTCATTTCTGGATAATCTTCAGTGTTCTGGACTTGAGCGGTTTGGTCCGTCCGGGGTCTGGACTCGTCCGGGGTCTGGAGTCTGGACTCGTCCGGGGGAAGTCTGGACTCGTCCGGGGTCTGGAGTCTGGACTCGTCCGGGGTCTGGAGTCTGGACTCGTCCGGGGTCTGGAGTCTGGACTCGTCCGGGGTCTGGAGTCTGGACTCGTCCGGGGTCTGGCTCTGTTTACGTCGGAGGGTCCACTCAGGAGGATTTATATTTCATAAGAAGCGATCCAGACTTATCCATAATTCAGGGCGGTGTGCCGGAGTGACTGGGCTGAGGGGCGGGGCGGACAGGGTGCTCACCCGGACACAGGCCCCCGGGGATCCTAACCAGACTGTGACAAAACACAAAAACATGACGGTGCTGTTGCTAGGGAAGACCGGACCACCAAAGACCACCAAAGACCACAGACACAAAACTGCACACGGGGAAAAGATAAAACATGACAAAAAACACCAGAGGAATAGACCTGGTTTAGACCTGATATAGACCTGGTTTAGTCCTAGTTTAGTCCTGGTTTAGTGCCTAAATAGACCTGATTCAGACCTGGTTTAGTCCTGAAACAGACCTGGTTTAGTCCTGAAACAGATCTGGGTTTAGACCTGAAATAGTCCTGGTTTAGACCTGGTTTAGTCCTGAAATAGTCCTGGTTCAGACCTGGTTTAGACCTGAAATAGTCCTGGTTCAGACCTGGTTTAGTCCTGAAATAGTCCTGGTTTAGACCTGATTTAGTCCTGAAATAGTCCTGGTTCAGACCTGGTTTAGACCTGAAATAGTCCTGGTTCAGACCTGGTTTAGACGTGATATAGTTCGATTTTAGCCCCAGTTTAGACCTAAAACAGGCCTGGTTTAGACCTGAAAACGTCCTGGTTTAGACCTGAAATCGTCCTGGTTTAGACCTGAAATCGTCCTGGTTTAGACCTGAAATAGACCTGGTTTAGACCTGAAATAGACCTGGTTTAGACCTAAAATAGACCTGGTTTAGACCTGAAATAGTCCTACTTTAATCCTGGTTTAGTCCTAGTTTAGACCTGGTTTAGACGTGATATAGTTCTATTTTAGCCCTAGTTTAGTCCTGGTATAGTTCTTGTTTAGACCTGAAACAGTCCTGGTTTAGTCCTAGTTTAGTTCTACTTTAGTAATAAAAATTACATTTAGTAAAGTATTTAAATTGTAATGAGTTAAATATTGATTAAATAAAAACACATGAACGTGAACCGATATCTGATCCACCAAAACGTTCTGTATCATTGCAGATCTCTCATACCAGTATCGTATCGGTGAATTCCCAAAGAACAAAACCTATTAGAGATTAATTTGATTACATATTTATTTTATTTTGACATTTTATTATAGAAACCCTCCAAAAACACAGAACATTTCCAATAAACCAAGACAAATCACAGTGCAGACCCAAGGCTCTCTGAACAACAAACGCACAAGCAAACGACGGCTTTAAGAACACGAAAAACTCCAAAAAACAAAACACACCGCCACCAAATCACACCGTGGATTCAAAACTCCAGTGTCTGAAGCGAAAATAAGCCATATAAATAATAATATACTCATAAAACCGTGACTATAAAAGCTCCGTGCAGTGCTGCTTTCCCCCAAAACAAACTCCCCGAACTGTGAAAGAAGTGGAACATTTACTTACGCGTCCTAATAATATCCGATCATAGAGTTAAAATAGTTCTGCTCTTCCGTGTCCCAGTTGATTGATTTTGGGAGATTTGATGCCGTGATTGTGTTTGAAATACCAGAAACTACGACTGAAAACTGCAATTTAACCGAAGAACTGAAAAGGCGCAATGGAAAATCAGAATGAAACGTTCCGTATTACGCAAAATGTGAGCTTTAATTCGTTTTAGAAAGTGGTTTCCGGTTCAAAAACACGTCTGGAGTTGTGTTTTGTCGTTTTGTTTCGTTCGCGCGTGTTTGAGTGACGCTTTATGATCTGTCTGTGATGTGATTAAGCCGTAGTTTTCAAGTGAAGTCGCGAGTCTAATGAAGTTAAACAACAGGGGTCTCCAACTTTTTTCCTCCGGTGAGCTACTTTTACAAAACAAAAAAAATGCCGGAGAGCTGCTCATTTTATAGGCCGCAAAAAATTATTTTACGATCATGATTACAAGATCGAGGGCGAGGTTTTGGGCGCAGTTAGACGCCTATGAAACAAAACCACTGTCCATTATTAGTCGATGTCTTTACAAAAATAATGTTCATGTAATTAATCAAATTTTTGTTTTGAAAAAAAAAAAAAGAACAAAAACAAAACTAAATATAGGGAAAAAAGGGAAATACTTTTTAAAAACTTTAATGTATTCACTTTACTTTATTCTTATTTGTATTATTTTATTAATTATTATTATTTGTGCAAAAATGTATTTTCCTTTTTCCCCAATATTTATTTATTTATACAGTTTACTTTGTTCTTATTTGTATACATTTTTATTATTTTATTTTATTATTATTATTTTTCCCTCTGGAGAAAGTGGAGAAGGTAATGTGAGGGGGCTGGGGAAATAAAAAAAAAAAAAAATCCCTTTTTTCCCTATATTTATTTATTTATTCAATTTAGTTTATTCTTATTTGTATTATTTTATTATTATTATTTTCCAACTGGAGACAAGGCAGGATGGTAATGCTTTACGTGCACAAATAAAAAAAAGAAAAAAAAAGTATTTCCCTATATTTATTTATTTTATTTTATTTATTCTTATTCATTATTTTTATTATTATTATTTATTTATTTTTTGCCACTGGAGACAATGGAGGAGGGGGTTTGGGGAATAAAAAAATGGTCACATTATATGATTACTAATTGTTTTCTCTGACATCTGCTTTATGTGCAAAAAAAAAAACAAAGTTAAAGGCAGCTACAGGTTGGAGACTCCTGTTATACAGATTTAAAAAAGAGTGGCGCAGTGTTTTAAATTTGAGAAAAGAACTCCTAAAGTGTAAAAATGCGGAGTTTGTGTGTTTTTAAACGTGTGTGGACGAAACAAAACAACTCCAGACGTGTTTTTGATGAGAAAACGACATCAGAACAGCTCAGAATAGACTGGAACATGGGCACTTTAAAGGTGAAACGTAACACTAGTAGGGATTTTGACTAAATTAACAAAATCTGTAAAATTAACGTGAAAACCAATGAACTGAACGGGACATTTTGTGTTATTTGCACTCGAGCAGAACTGAGCGTATCGCCGTGTTCCTCCAGATGTAAACAGAGAGCCTTAAACGACGGTAAAAGGTCCGAACAACATTTAAAACTCCAAAATAAATTATTAAAATAAACGTATAAATATGAAAAGGGGGTGCGGGCTTAAAAGTTCCCTTCGACCAGGTGAGCCCGAAGCGGTGGCACCGTGAGGAGGCGTCTCGATGATCCGGGTGGGATAAAAGCGTAAAAGAGCGGAAGTGGAAACGAGGGAAACGACGACGGGCGGGGAGATCGAAAGGTCGGACCACGAGGACGGAGAAGAGGACGCGGCGATTTGGTCGGTTCCATCGTTGTGAAACAAAAACGGAAAACGGTGTCACTTCTTCTCTTCATCTCTGTAGCCTGAAAAAGAAATAAAACACAAAAAAAAAAAAAAACAACTTCACTGACAACACTTGTGATAATACTGACATTTCAAACTCAATTTCGACGCTAAGAATAGACCCATTGCCCACTGATGTAACTTTTCATCAGCTTGTTTCTATGGAGACGTCATTGCTCTGTCTGGAATGTTCCACAGTGTGACTTTAAACAGCTCTACTTTACGTTTATTCAATCACAGGTGCTTTTATAGCTCAAAAATACCAAGAAAAACAAAGATTGTGACTGTATCTGACAAGTAACTCGGTCTGGTTTGGTCTCCATGCAGATAGAAAGGTTTAATGCCATACTGTGGAACATTCCAGACAAAGCAATAACGTCTCCATGGAGAAAAGCATTAGACGGAGCCTCCACAATGCAACTTTAATGATTAAAAACATTCTTTCTTTAAACAAAAGAATGTGATTTTCCACATTAAATGGTAAAACTTCTGTTCTATTCCCATGTGTCCTTAGATCTGTGCAATCCCACAGTGGTCCAGGTCTAAACCAGGTCTAAACCAGGTCTAAACCAGGTCTAAACCAGGAGGTTCTAAACCAGGACTAAACCAGGTCTAAAACCAGGACTAAAACCAGGACTCTAACACCAGGTCTAAACCAGGTCTGAACCAAACACCGTCTAACCAGGTCTAAACCAGGACTAAACCAGGATAAACCCAGGTCTAAAACCAGTCTAAACCAGGACCAAACCAGGTCTTAAAAACCAGGACTAAATCAGGTCTAAACCAGGTCTAAACCAGGACTAAACCAAAACCAGGTCATAAACCCACCAGGTCTAAACCAGGACCAGGAACCAGGACTAAACCAGGACTAAACGAGGTCTAAACCAGGACTAAATCAGGTCTAAACCAGGACTAAATCAGGTCTAAACCAGGACTAAATCAGGTCTAAACCAGGACTAAAGTAGGTTTAAACCAGGTGAGTTTTTTAGTATCAATACCTGTGAAAAACGAGGATCTAGTTTCAATATTCGAATGTGATTTCCAATAATTATACTTAATATTAAGTCTGATTTAGACACATTTATATTGAGTGTGATCTTATATCCATCTATAAAAGGTTACTGCATTAAAACATCATCTTTAGGCACATGCGATTATATTAAAGAATGATAAAAAAAACTGGTGATTGTGAGAAACATTCACGTTAAACCCTGTGAGCAGTGAGATGTTTTACCTGAGCAGGAGTTTAAAGAACCGTGAGCATCGTCTGAACTCCACAGTCCACAAAGTTCTGCAAAACAAACACACGTCACTGCAGCACCTGAAGAAAAACACCGATCTGATGTTAAAGGTTCTACGTTACACAAAATGGACTCCTGTGAACTTTAAGTCGTGTTTTTATATATATATTTTTGTCGATCAATAAAGTTTGTCTAAGTTTAAGAGTTACTCAAACATGAATGAAACAAAACAACTCCAGATCCGTTTGTGACGAGAAAACGACATTAGAACATAAATTACAAAAAGTGTAATACGTGCCCTTTAATCTGTCCACTTTCTATTTAAAGCTTTTTTTAAAAAACAGTTTCAGACACTAAATGAGCTCCAGGCCACAGTAAAGGCCTAACTTCACTGCATTTATTTCTAGAGATTTGAATCTTTTAATAATAATCCAATATAAATCCATATTTTTAACACTAGTATAGTTCACATATAAAATACAATAACACTATTTTAATAATAATCCTTTTGAACTGGACTGTAGAATCCTGCTTTTAAACGACAGCAGAGCATTTCTATCCACACACCTCCCCCTAGTGGAAGTCAGGTGCAAACAACAGAAACAGAGAGAAAAACGGCATTAGTCATTTAATTGTTTGCAGTTTGGGTCCAATAATACATAAATATAGATCAATATATATAAAAATAAACCTGTGTGACACATTAACACATTACAGGAGTATTTTAAAGGGCCCATATTTCACAATCATCACTGAACTGAACTCCAGGGAACAGGAACCACACTGACTCGGATCATGAGAGGATGTGACGTGTGGAGCCCACTGTTTCAACTAGGGATGGGCATTCGATGAAATTTTCTTAATCGATTTTCGGAAGAATTAATTGATTATCGATTGATCATAATTACATGTGCTACTATCTGCATTAAATTCAACTTTACGACATAACCGTAACCGCTCTAGAGCCACGTCAATCCGTTGAGATTATAATGTGTTTAATCAGTTTTGCGCAACTTCACAGAAACGAAAATTTAAAACCGCATCACTAATTTGATAAACTCAGCGATTAAAACTACAGCTCTTTCTGTTGGATTAAAGACATGACTCAGGTGAATACAGGTTAGTGTGTCCTATTTGTTTGTCAAAACCAGGACAGCGTACGGGGGGAGGGGGGGGGCCTCGTCATCCACATTGAGCGACTCTCACCTGACACTGGACACCGAAACATATGTGCTGCTTTATACACTGTGCACATGGACTCACACTTGTCCCGAAAGCAACGGAAAGTGTGGAATTTCTTGTACAAATCATCGTTAAATACGCATTTGTGCTTCGGTTCGTTACAGACTGACCCACTGTTTGTGTCTCGCTCCTTCTGAGTGCGGAGAGCTACATGTACACACCTGTTTGGTCACGATACACACAGCAACCTACATTCGGTTTGTCAATTAAAATTAACGTAATCGATGAAATTCTTAATGATCAATTATCGATTAATCATGCCCACCCCTAGTTTCAACTATTATGAATTATTGTGAATACGAGAACAATTTAGCATCTCAGACAGGATTTATTTTACGCGTTACAATTGAACAAAGTTGAGAGTTATTGTGAACGTGTTAAATAAAGTTTGATTGACTTATCTAACTGTTGTGTTTCTTTTAATGCGCCTTATAGTCCGGTGCAGTTTATTTGTGAAAAAAGTTTGAAAATAAACCATTCAATGGCAGTGCGCCTTATAATCCAGAGCCACTATAGGGCGGAAAATACAGTACTGGATAAGAAACCATTTTCATTTCACCACTGCACTATTTTAGATAAGAACTATTGGCTTAATTTTAATAATTTCGTTGATGTTAAATATGGATGTTTTATATATAAAGTTTTATATGGACTCACCCGCCCCCCCCTTACAGGATTTTTATTAAAGTAAAGACTGTCGTTGGGATGAGACCTGTGAGCTCCACACAGACGCTCCACATTTGGAAAAAATTGTGTCTCACTCAGAGGCACAAAGTTCTGGAACATTCCCCCATTAACAATAAGAGATAGTTTAGAACTGTCCCTTGTTATTGTTGTTGTTTCTGTTAAATTTGTGGTGTCACCTGCTGAGGGACGACAGATGGAAAAGAATAATAATATGTACACATTTCTTTTTCTTTTAAAGTTTAGTTGACGCGGGTTATATTCAGGTGCGCTCAATAGTCTGAAAAATACGGTACTTGGTCACTAAAACGAGCAGCTCTCTGGCACGTTCGTTCTGTAAAGGAAGCTCACCCGAGGAAGATGTTAGAGACTCCTGCTCTAAACTCCGCATCACTGAAGCGGCACATTTCCTCACACATTACTGACCGCTGTGAGAGTATTCACCTGGCCGACCGGGCGAGTCCTCTGGTCCGGGGTCCAGTGAGGAGCAGAGTACGGCTGTTTGAGAGAAATGTGGTCAAACTCATCAAAACCTGATCTCAGCCCCCTCGCCCTGTGTGTGTTCGGGTTTACCTGGTACATGTAAGGACTCTGTGTGTAGTTCACTGGCACCTGCGGCACCATCACTCCCCCAAAACTCGAGTAGTACGGCTGAAACAAAACACATGCAACCACAACATGAACAAAAACACATCTGTCACATCTGCCCAGGCCTGTCACCATAACAAGTTTGGTTGTGTGTGTTCCCCACAGATATTGTTAAGACTATGGTGGCACAAATAAACATTATTTGAATTAGTTAATCTCATTAAATTTATTGAGTATTAATGTTACTTACCTGTACCCGGTGTTGTACACAAACATGTTCATATTTATTTTTATTTATTTATTAATTTAATAGGGACAGTGCATATTAATGAACATCTACAACATTGCAGTGTAAATATGCCAGATTATAGCAAGACTGCGAATTTCCATCTGTCGTCCCTCGCAGGAAACAACCAAATTTAAACAAAGCAAAAAAAGTAACAAATCTATACTAAAAGGTCACAAGTCTGTTTTTCTTTAGCCACTTAAGGAGGACTGGAAGGTGCAAGAGTTGAAGTTTCTCTTATTGACAGTGCGGACTGTTTAAAAAATGTTGTGCCTCTGACTGAAGACACACACTGTCCGAGTGTGGAGCATTTGTGGAGCTCACAGTTCCCCGGGCTGTGGCCCTAGTCCCACTCCAGTCTTAACTTAATAAAATCCTGTAATGGAGGAGGGCAAGTCCATGCAACTTTATAGACAAAAATCCATATTTAAAACCAATAAAATTATTAAAATTAAGCAAACTATACACTATCTAAAATAGTGCAGTGGTGAAATGAGAATGGTTTCTTGTCCAATATTTTTATGGCTTTTTTAAAAAGTGATTCGAAAGTGATCTTTTGGGCAAATGTGAACTAAATGCACTGTTTTAATGTCGGATGAACAAACTGTGAACGTGTTCATTCTGGTGTCTGTGACCAGGATGTGCTTCTATTCACCTTCGTTCAACAGGGAGCCTCACAGGTAAATAGTGTTAGAGTGTTAATAGTTAAATAGTGCATAAATGAGCTGGTGGGTGTGTTCCTGTACATCAGGGTGTGCTGCGGCATAATCTTTGCACTTGGCTTTGTGTTGTGCTCCGATAGTTCATTCAAGAGTGATTAAAATGACTGTCTGCTTCTGGCAATTGTTATAATATTACATAGAATACATGTATTCAATTATATATTTATAATTTTGGTCTTATAGCTCGCAGCAATAGATTGAAAAAACACTTACTGAACTAGTTCATGTCTGGAACTATGAACAAACTATTAACTATAAACAATTATGAACTATGAATAAACTGGTTCATTTTGAAACTTGTGAACTGAACTTTGAACTAGTTCATGCAGAAAATTAACTCTCCCAACACAGCCTACACCTACTTGCCTATATTCATCCTTAAGCAGGCATTTTTGACACGTGTAGTTTCTTTTATAAGTTTATGATTTTATACTATGGGGTCACCATATTCTCCTGTATTATTTATTTATCCTTTACAGCACAAATGTTATTGTGTTACAACAAAAAATAAAAATGATACAAAATAAATATTGAGCGCTGAAATATATTGTTCCTGCTTTGATATACTGACGTCAATATAATAATTATAACAGACATATGCAGATCTATAATGACAGATAAATGCAGTCCTAAAGTGCTAGTATAAAGTACCTGAGTGTACGGACTCCCTCCACTGACGACGGGTGTGGGGGCTCCACCCATGGGCGAGCAGCAGGTGCAGTAGAAGTACTGTGTGGGACTCATCCACGGAGCTGGACTGAAGAGTCGAGGATTCAGAGAACCTGAGGAGGAGAGAGATTCAGAACAGTGTGTGCTGACGACCTTTGACCCACCGGACCGAGTACTTACGGGCACTTCTTTCTTTCATGATGGCGGGGCCCAGCTTCAGTTTACGGCCTTTAAAACTGATCTGTTGCTGTGAGGACAGAGAGAAAACACTTTTAAGGAACTGATACTCTGCAGAGACAAAGACCAGAGACAAACATGGACTTGTAAATATGCAGGATTGTAGCCAAAGATAATCTCAATCCTTAGTTCCCCGCTGGACCAAGGCCACATCACCCGCACAGTTCATAAAACACGACAAAGGTCTAAAACATAAAACGTACAGGTCAGACATGAACTAAACTATCTCTATATAGTCGAATGTTCAGTTACCATGGATAAACGATACACACAAAGTTGTAAGAATGTCTGAAAACTCAAGGAAAATCTGGATTTAAACACCACATTTTCAGAATCGCGTGATTAGTCTGAGCGTAAATGTTCCTGTTTGATTTTCAACAAAAAGGTGAGAGTGACTGAAAAACTGTAATATTATCTGAGAGGGACTTGTGTATCAGTAAAAATCTGCTCACCTGTTGTAGTTTCTGCTAAATTATCATTTATGGGAGGATTGTCAAGTCAAGTCATTTCAATTGTAAAGCACATTTAAAACAACCTGAACTAGTAACACCAAAGTGCTTTACAACAAGAAAACTGTTAATTTTTTTTATCATTAAGCTTCAGACAGATCAGAGCCTACAGTCGGCGTCACATCCCCAGGCATCAGCTGCAAAGTATCAGTACAGAGCGAGAGCGTTGGACCACATTCACTTACATCAATGATTGTCTGAATGTCCACTTCTTCACTGAAGTACACAAAGCCGTACCTGAGACACAGACAATGAAAAATCACACAAAATCATACAGTTCAAAAATCACACAGGCCAAAATCACACAAAAAAATACCACACACACACACACACAAAAAAAATCACATACTGTATTTTTCGGACTATAAGTCGCACTTTTGACTGAAGCAGCGAGAGGCTCTTGTCTTGTGTCAGTTTTCTGTGCATGTCTCCTGCATAAAAAGCCTCTGTCCTGCTGCCAGTCGTGAAATATGCAGCAGAAAACGGTAATTGAGCAGCAGGGAGAAAGATTGGAGTGAGAGAGAAACTTGTGAGGGACTGACGGAAAGCGGGAACGGAGAACACAGCTTCACGTGAACCGGGAGGACGCACCATGAAACTTTCCTGAAGTCACTGGATGAATCGACAAAGCCTGGACTTCAGTGACACCGAAGTTGCGTGGAGTTGCTCAGAAGTGACACCGAGGATGAAGAATTCAATGGATTGGATGGATTTAGTGCTTTGGAGTGAGATGGAGAGTTTGGTAAACTTGTTCTGTTGTTTATGTTATAGTTTATCTGAAGACTGTTCATATGTGACGTAACATATTAACGTTTCAGTCTGTTGTTTCTATATTCTATTGATTACTATAATTGGCCTTTCAAGATGAAATGTCGGTTCCTGGTCCCTGATTTTATAAAATAAATTTCCCCCAAAAAGTGTGACTTATAGACCAGTGCCTCTTATAGATGTTTTTTTCTTCTTCATTACGCATTTTTTGGCTGGTGCGACTTATTCTCCAGAGTAATAACACAGTAAAAAAAAAAACACAAAAAAAAACACAAAAAGTCACAGTACAAAAATCACAGACATGAAAACACAAAGACCAAATACCACACAGACAAAAAACCACACACAATAACTGTAAAAAAAAACAAAAAAACAAAACAATAATTCACTCAAAATAACACAGTAAAAAAAAAAAAAATAAATTACAAAAAGTCACACATAAAAAAAAATCTAAATCACACATTAAAAAAATAAATAAAATAACAAAAAGTCACACACACATAAAAAAAATAATAAAAAATAAAAAAATAAAAATCACAGAAAGTCACACAGTACAAAAATCAGCCACAAAATCATACAGTACGAAAATCACAGTACAAAAAGCGTACAAAAATCACAGAGACAAAAATCACACAGTACAAATGTCACAGAGTACACGCTCCACAGCTCCATGAGGACTTACCCTTTGCAGATCCCTCCTCTGTACGTGATTATTTTGATTTCTTTAACGGTCCCGAACCGCGCAAAGAAGTCGCGCATTTCATTTTCGTCGATCTGCACAAGACAAACGATTTCCCGACATCACTTACTCAATTTGACCATTTTCAACTTCCTAAACTGCCCCTGCGGGACTCATCTGTAACTCCTCTCCCCCAATTATGCCACCCGTTTACGAATGACCCACTTTTGGACTTAATACAGTGAATAAATAAAAACTTTCCTGATGGAACTGGTGCAGACCCAAATTCTTTAAAACTACGAGCGGAGGTGAGTTTTAATCAAAGTAACGAGAAGACATATCATTAAAAAACACGTTCACAGGGGATTTCCGAGACAAAACGATCAGTTACCTTCATGTCAATTCCACCGACGAACAGAGCGTTGGGCGTGAGCTTCCCTTCGGGCAGGAGGTACCCGTTTGACAGCCTCTGCGATGGAGATGTCCGGGCGCCGCTCCGGGGTTTGTTGATATCCTTAGAGAGGGAAGAGGAGACAGAATGAGACAATACTGTGTCATTTGTCTCGTAAATATAGAACAGGAGAGATATTCTGGTTTCAACTAACAATTATTTTCGCGATGCTATTATTAGTGAGTGAGGAACCTCGAGTCTTCTTATATAAACGACTCTTTTTAGTTCCAATAACACTGCAGAACATTTAAACTTAGTGCTAGATCAGGTCTCGTTCGTTTGGCTGATTTCTGGCTGACAGTGAGCGCCACAGTTCAGATTTAAAGGGCCCGTATTACACCATTTTCTGATCTGTTATGATGTCGTTTCCTCATTAAAAACATGCCCAGCGTTGTGTTTTGTTTCAGCCACACATGTTTAACACCCAAACCCTGCATGTTTAAGGTTGAGTTCTTCAGAAAACGCGCTGTTCCACCTCGTCACGTCATCATGTGGTAATACAGGACGTGTTCCACTGTGCTTTTAACTCCACGCACCTTCACTAAAATCATTTGGATAATTTCGGCTCTGGAATTGCCAAACTCTACTGAATAAAAAGAAAAAAAAAAGCCGTTCACTTGAAAACTCCCACTAAATGACATCACAAGGTGGAACAGAGCATTTAGAGCTTTGGAAATGTAGACAGACTAATAATAAAGAGTTACTCAAACACGAATGAATGAAACAAAACACAACTCCAGGTCTGTTTTTGTGAAGGGAACAACATCATAACATGGCTTAAAGCTAAGGTGACCAAAGTTTCAAAATCAAAAACAGGGACAGCCCCATTTTTTTGGTGGTTGGTAATAATAAAATTATGAAACAAGTGCGTAAATAATGAAAAATGTTAAGCAGAAACCATTCATGGCGAACATGAGTCACATTTTCTTTGGGTTTTGGTTGTTTTTAAGAAGATTTTTTAGTATTTTACCTAAACAAAATACAATTTATGCCTGTCTTCACTGCTGGCATGAATTAAATTGGTTAAAAATAGCACTGTTACATCTGGGACATTTCTTGTATAAAACTGGGACAAATCTCTGGTTTTGCGTAAATCTGCTGGGACAGGGGACACAGGGATCAAAACTGGGACTGTCCCGGGTAAACAGGTACTGGACAGCCTACTCACAGCTCACAGGAGTAAATATTAAAACAGCTTTGACTTAAACACTGTACGTAAAGACCAGGATTCCAACTCTTTTTCACTGATAAAATTAAATGATAAAAACTTTTCCATGAATTTCATGACCTAAAGTGAATTTCCCATGACTTTACAGCACCTACATGTGCAGAATTAATCATACTTTTAGGGCTAAATATGAAATATTAACTCTTTCCTCTCACTTTATGGTTTGGGATTATAGTTTTTTAACATTAAAAATCCTGTCAGTGCATTTATCGTCGTCTCTTTTAAACAAAAGGCGCAGACGTTCAGAAATAATCATAATAGTGTAATGAGAACTTAACAGAACGCTGTAGCTGCGTGAAACAGATAATAAATAATAAATAAATAGTAAATAAACTAGGAAATAGTAAGTAAAAATAGTATAAATAGTATAGTATAAATAGTAAGTAAATAGTAAATAATAAATAGATAATAAATGTCCATGACTTTTCCAGGACTTCCATAACTGTGGGAATCCTTAAATACATAGTGACACTAGTAGTGTTGGGAGTGTTACTTTTAAAATGTATTCCCCTACAGATTACAGATCCCAAAATGTAGTCTGTAACGTAATCCATTAAATAACTTAAAGTGAGTAATGTAATCTGAATACTTTGGATTACTTGATTTGTAGAGAAGCACAGACTTGGATACTTAACCGATTAAAAAATATTATTGATAGAAGAGCAGGAGACACATCTGCGCAGCATAGTTTAGTCCTGTTTTAGTCCTGTTTTAGTCCTGGTTTAGTCCTGGTTTAGTCCTGGTTTAGTCCTGGTTTAGTCCTGGACACTATGAGCATCCACTTCCGGTCTGTCAGAATGCGCACGGCTCATTTCGAGTTTGTAGAAGTAGAATTAATTTAATCGTCAAATATTTAATCCTAAATAAAACTTTTGTCGCATTCTGGCTGATTCATGAGGAGCGCGAGGGCCTCAGTTCGGAGCGCGGGTTAGCGAAGAGCTAATGGACGTGATCATGACTTTAAATGGTCTTTGAAGTTCGTAATGTCACACAAACCTTCATGACAAACGTTTAAACTTGAGCCACAAACGACAGCATAAAAAGTGTTACTTGGGTTTTCGCGACTTTATCCAAATCATTTCTGCATCAACGAGCTCGTGCCGCGTTTAGCTTTAGCATTTAGCTTCATAGCACAAACTCGCTTCTCCTTCGTCGGTCATTGTCATGTCGCATGTTGTTAAACTGTTAATGTTAAACTGTTAAATAAATGTAAATGCGCAGGGAAAAGTACTCACCATGACTAAAAGTGTAAAAGAACATGAACTAGAACAGAACAGAACAGGAGCGGGCGGAACAGACGCAGAGCGACGTGTTTGGGCGCGAGGAGCCGCCGACAACAACTACGTCACACGGCGCGAGACCACACCCAGCACGGCGCGTGCACGGCCAACAACAACAACAACAAAAAAACAAACAAACAGAAAAAAAAACCTCAAACTTTGGAAAATATTATAAAACTAAAAGTCACTAATCTTCTCGTGACGTACAATGTATTTATTTATTTTTATTTTATGATGCGAAATTGAAAACGCTTGCAGTGGAACAATAATAAAATTTTTATTATAGTTCTTTATCAGTTTTATAGTTTTATCATTTTAGTATTTTTTTATTCGATTGTAATTTTTATTTAATTTAAGTTAATTTGAATTTTATTTTAAAATTTCATTTCATTTTAGTTAATTTTAGTTTTATAGTAATAGTTTTAGCAATAGTTATTGTATATATATATATATATATAATTATTAAAAATATATAATTATATATATATATATATTATTATATATATATTTTTTTTTTTTTTTATATATATATATATAGTTCTACGGCCGAGACGCGATTGCTACTTGGGGTGGATTCAGGACATGGATCTATAATAAATTACTTTTATTTTTTTATAGTTGTATGACTCGGGACACGTGCGGTCTTTGTGCACTGAACTGCGCCACACGTCGCTGCCAGCAGAGGGCGGCAAAACAGCACACTGGACACTGAACATCATGCTCGCGTTGTATTTGCACTGGACACATCTTTGACATTTCTTTTTCTACTATCACGGTGAAAGATAACGTGTACTCAAGAAAACTACTTTCACAAATGCTACTGTAAAAAACACCACGTGAAAACTACCAGTTATTTAGACAACTTAGAGCAGTTTAGTAAATTTCTTTAATACAAAACCAGATCAATTAAACAGTGTAAAGTGAGTTTAGTCGTTTTACACCGTCGGCATTTCCCTGGTGCTGTGCTGAGTTTGTTGTGGTGAATTTGTTGTTGAAAGAAGCAGCAGAAACTCGTGAAACAGTACACACAGTACAGAGTATTTGGACACGTTCAGAACTCAGTAACATCTGTGTTTTTATGTAATGAAGTACAATTACTACAGGCTAGAAATAAACACAAATACAAATACAAAAATACAAAGTACAAACAGCCACAGGTTTACAGGTTTACATATACAAAGAGCCTCAATAAATAAATAAAACTACTTCTTCAACTTCTACTACTACTACTACTACTACTACTACTACTACTACTACTACTACTACTACTGAGTACGAATACTAACACAAAAGTACTACTACTACCACTATTACTACTACTTCTACTGCTGCTACTACTGCTACTGCTGCTACTACTACTACTACTACTACTACTACTACTACTACTACTTTACTCCTCCTACTACTACTACTCTGAGTACGAATCTAACACAAAAGACTTTACTACCACTCTGACTACTATACTACTACTACTACTACTACTACTTGCTATACTACAACCAATACTACTACTATTTTCTACAACTTTCTACTACTACTACTATTTCTAACTACTACTGATCTACTACTACTACTGCTGCTACTACTGCTACTACTACTATCAATACTACTACTACTACTACTACTCTCTCTTCTACTACTGTTGCTATACTGTGCCACTACGACTTATTTTCTACTACTCTTTACTACTTCTACAACTACTACTACTACTACTACTACTACTACTACTTACTACTACTACTACTACTTATTCTACACTTCTACTACTACTACTTATTTCTACTACTACTCTACTACTTCTACAAATACTAACTTACTACTATACTACTACTACACTACTCTACTACTTCTACTACACTACTATTTCTACTACTACCTCTAATATAACGACTCTTTTTAGTTCCAATAACACTGCAGAACATTTAAACTTAGTGCTAGATCAGGTCTCGTTCGTTTGGCTGATTTCTGGCTGAAGTGAGCGCCACAGTTCAGATTTAAAGGGCCCGTATTACACCATTTTCTGATCTGTTATGATGTCGTTTCCTCATTAAAAACATGCCCAGCGTTGTGTTTTGTTTCAGCCACACATGTTTAACACACAAACCCTGCATGTTTAAGGTTGAGTTCTTCAGAAAACGCGCTGTTCCACCTCGTCACGTCATCATGTGGTAATACAGGACGTGTTCCACTGTGCTTTTAACTCCACGCACCTTCACTAAAATCATTTGGATAATTTCGGCTCTGGAATTGCCAAACTCTACTGAATAAAAAGAAAAAA